GAGAGAGAGAGAGAGAGACAGAGAGAGAGACAGAGAGAGAGACAGAGAGAGAGACAGAGAGAGAGAGAGCTAGCGATTCCCATCAGAAAGCCCATTTCAGTCGCTGCTACGCTGGATCGAAGTTTTCAGTTATGGCCCTAGATGACTCGCGACCGTAAATGAGCATCGGGATGAAAATCGTTTTATTTTGTCGAATGAAAAATCTGTTTTTGATGCAGGTCACTTTTGATCGTTTATTAAAATCTGACTAATCACACTTTTTCAAATTGATAACATGCCACTTCCGTTAAGATATGCTTCCTGCTTATGAGAACTACTTCATGATCCATTTATGAGATGGATAAGAATAAATAAACCTAGCTTTAATAACTTAACTCGCAACATCTTGGAGATGCCTTCGTCCAGCGGTGGGTCGAGAAAGGCCGACGATGATATATTAATATAACGTTGTTAAATGTATGTCAATGGGCAATATCATTCTGAGGATGAAAGCATCTATTCGAATTCCACTCTGAATGATACACAAAAATGATTCTTGTATTTGATTAAGATGTTAAAAAAGAAGTTGGTTAAACGAATGTTCAAGCATTAATTTGAGAGTGCTTGGTGCGTAGAAGATGCCGATGAAACAGAAACGTTTTCGCGCTGCTTTCGTCCTTCAGATTTCAGTTCAAAATAATATTATCAGTGTAAAGCCAACACCGAGACGGTGTAACAGATTTGCTGCAGGCCGTCAAGAACAATGCTTTTGTATACTCATAAATATGCAAATATCTCATATGAGAACAACACCAAAATAAATGTACGGCAAGAAGGGAAAATCAAGAACTTAAAAGTTTCTTCTGCTTCAGAAGTTCTTGGTATTCACTGCACAGTTTTTCGAGTCGAGCCTGGCTCGTTGCCATTTCGCACACCAGATTAATAGAAGAAATGAAATACTTCTGGCCTTTTCGAAGAAGCCCTGGAGTCAGTATGCCAAATCTTTTCAATATGTCTCTTTTAGACGATTCTGGCATAGTGTAATTTTCGAAGCTGGAAACGAACTGTCCTTCATCTTCTGACACCGCCACTGTTACCGTGGAATTAGAACATCGTTCATCAAACTGCAAGCAGCTAATAGCACTGGTTCCTCCCATTTCGATACGAGACTTGGCGACACAAATCCAACCTTCCCGTAGCTGGCTCTCAAGACCGGTCTTAAGAGCAATTAAGTCGTTCATAAGCGAAAGCACCTTTAACGATAAATCGTCCAACTTCTCACAAATTTCTTCCATATTCCTTGCGGATCTTTAAAGAAAACCTCACATGACAATAATCACTATTATAAAATTTCAAGAAAGTTACAAAATCTGCGTTTTATTCCTGTTTCCTTACTGTAGTATTTAAACGGTTTCGAAAAACGCGACCACCTTTTCTGCATTATCAAACGAAACGCAAATACATAACAAAAACAACGGTTATAATTTTCATAAATCTCCCATGCAAACGAGAAAAAACGCACCTGAAATTGCGAAGTTATTCATCTGTCATCACTCCAATTAACAACCCATGCTCTTATATATGTGCGATAGGAGTATTTATTTAGTATATGCCCATAAGGAGTATATATACCTGAAATGCCGTTCGTCGTGAGAACGAAGACAAGAAATTTTTGTTTATAAAATTCAACGACAGTATTCAGCGCTGCAGGTGCTTTAATAAGTTACAGGTTACCCTGCACAACTGGCCCGTCAAGGAAATTAGGCGCAAGGTGATTAGTCCTACATGCCGTAAAAGGTGGTTTAGGAAGAATTATTCGTCGGTTAAGGAAAAATTAGAGATCTTCCTCCTGAAAACTGCAGATCTGAATAACAAAAACATTATTAATATGCCTACGATCCCTCTAAAAAATACAAACGGTGCTGTTCAATGACAAGACGGGTTCCAGTTACGGACGACCGGCGAACCTCTCTAACTAGATGTCCATAAGAACTGAAAGTGGGCAGCATGGCACGGCATCACTTTAAAAAATTTAAAATAGGGAAACTCATTATTATCACGTAAATTAAACATTTGGAATTGTGTCAGGCCACCATCTAAGCAAGAAAAGATAATGATTTGCTAAAGCAAGGACTGTGGATCTTTCGGCACTGAGATTCAGTGGCATTAGTACCATTTTTAACGGTCAGACATCATAAATCTGCTGCTGCAGCTCTCATAACCTCAGATGATGGTGACAAAATAACAACAAATTTCTTCCTCAGCATACTTTTCAAGCAAAATGTCTGTTCCCTCTGCGACAATTACACTACTTGCACAGTAAAAGATATTGGAGTTCGGATAAGATCGGTAGGTACAAAAGTATATTATAACATTTACATGAACCAGGACTTAAGACAGGTGTTGAAGAAGCTTGCCATTGCATCTTTATCAAGGCATATATAAAATTCACGTATTTCTGCTACAATATACTTGAAAAAAATTATAAGCATAACAATATAACATAGCAACCCAGCTTCCTAAGACAAATTCAAAAGTGTAATCTCAAAAAGACCTATGCTTAATTTCATGAACTCATTTATAACTTTCAATTTTATCTGACACCTTTTAAAATTTTCCTTGAAATTTTGTTTACACCATGTACTGATCATCAATGCTAAGGGAAGCGTAACAAATATCAGACCCTCTGGCGACGAGACACCTGATATTTTGCCGCAGCAGTAAACATTGCTAAAAACGAATCTGAAATACTATTTTTAAAAGTTAGACATTAAATTGGTGTTACTCCTAAGTATAAGATCAGCTAGCCTTATTTGACAATGACCAAACAATAAAAGACACGCTATGGCATGACCACACCAAAATGCTATTCCCTTTTAATAGCCCGCATTTCGAAGAGCTAATATTGCGGGAATTAATTATTAGCAAATGCAATTTTTTGCCGCTAATCGCATCCGAGTTAGGTACCTCTGAAGAAAAAGTTAAATGCTAACCAAATTCTCGCGTATTGTTTAAAGGTCTCAGGGTAGAAATTTACACAGAATCTAAGCGCTGGTTTCAAAATAACATTTCTGCGTCTCTACTGAAACCAATTTAATACTCAAAAATTTTTGCATGGGCATGACATCTAAAATTGTCCAGCTACCCTTAAACAGGAAACAGGATCCGCAATAACCGTGCATCTCAACTTTCAGAATTAGCTATGGTGCATGTTAGTTTCAAAGCATCTGACTCTTGCCCCATTCATATATATTCAAAACCGTAGTTAAATTTTTCCGTAATAATTCGGCTGTAGTGTATACCCGCAGTTTTGTGTATGAAAATAAACTCTTAGATCTTCATTGATATGAGATTCACTAATTCCGCGTAGCATTGGGAGCAACATTTAATTAACCGTTTTGTACATTTACGGAATGTTTCATCTTCTAGGTGCGTGTTCCGTTTGCCCTGAGAAATGCCTTCAATGCAGACTTCATATTTCTGCTGACGGTGTAGTATTTACGCCTGCCATGTGATATTATCTGCGACTATGCAGTGATGATCGTTGTTTCACCAGACGATAAATAGAGCGTATTTTACGGGGCGATTGTAAAAAACGTTCTAGTCTAAATACTTCGCATGCTACACTCTTTTTTTGCTTGCTAATCCCTTTTTACGGGACATCCTTTGGACTAGTTCTGGTTCTCGAATAACCAGTTGACCCAAACCGAAAACCGTTTCTCTGCTATGAACTTGCTTGAAATGCTGCGCCAGATAATCTCCGCTTATTCGGCGAAGCAGGTCTCATGCTGGGAAATCCATTGGCGATTTTGATATGTTACAACTGATTTCGCAAATGATTTTGTTATGATTACAATGGACAACTGTTTTCCAAATATCATATTTCTTCATGGTTTAATCATCACAGTCTGCTTTACTGAGGCGCGCATTGTTATCGCTCCCTGTTTACTCAAGGGCTCCAATTTTGTGTGTCGAACACAGCTAGTTTCACTTTATAGAAATTACGTGAATTACGGACTAAAATCTCTGCATCAGCATATTATATGGCATATATATGAGCTGTGTTTGAATGAAACGATGATATGCATTTTATTCATTCTAGAGTGATTTAGAATTCATTCTCACATTTTAGCGAGGGTTTCTTGCACTTTCTGAACTAATCGGTCCTGAATGATACATAGCGGTTCTTTCAGTAAGCAGCATAACTGTAGTAATTAAATTCGACATAGGTTAAAGATGTAATTGAGGATCTCTACTGTTTTAATTTAACCTTCTTAATTTTTCATGTTTTGAATAGTGATGAGACTGAATTAATTACAATATTTTCTATGAATAATCGAATTTATTCTCTTGGGATACTTAGTAGCTGTACTTGTTTCATTACATTATTATTTTTTGAAGCTGAACAAAAAATACGTCGACGGTCTTTGCATTTTTTATGTCCTGGTGGTTCTTATTGCTTTCTTGCATTTGAATCATAAACTTGCAGCGATGTTCAAAGCATCATTGTTTAGTATAGCGTAATATAGTATTCCTTGTTGTGGTCAGGAGTATGACTTGCCGCATCAGTAAACCCTACCTATGTAATAACGTTAATAATGGTCTGTTCGTTGTAGCTGCTCACTCAGTTTTTAGGCATCTTTATTTAGATCAAAACTAAGGCTACACATGTGTCCAGTGAATCCGTATAGTCGAAAAATTTTGATGGTAATTGTTTGATGCGAGACAGGCTATAACGTCAAGGCGTCGTAAATCTTAGGCACAGTTCAAACTGTTCAACGTCATAGATCTGTTTTACTCTGCTCATAAAGCTTTAGAGGATAGCATTAGATGTATGATGTTAACATTAACTCTTCTGCTCTCTTAGGGTTGTAATTACTGTTATAGTTTTCTTAATCAGTTTAATGACTAATACAATTGTGCGTAAGTATTATACAGCATGTAGCACTCAGTATTGACCTTTTCATTAGATAAGGACGCAAAAGCTGTTAATAAGCTTAAAAATATCAATGCTTCTGGAATAGATTATTTTCATGTTGTGGTTCGCACGCGTCTGTCAAATTGCAGAGCCTACATCAAAGGCACAAATAGACTGGGGAGCGAGGGTTATAGCATTGCTGTGGTTGAAGAAGGGAAAAAACATTACTAATTGTTTTTATGAAACTTTTGAAACATCCTCACGTATGGAATTCTTCGTAAACCGTGTTACTTCTGCTTGCATCCTCATTTGCATTCAT